CAACATGCGTAATCTCTTAAACAAAATAATCCTTCTGTACTGAGTAACTGGAGCTGGTTTTAGATTGCCACGTAAGGTTTTTTCCCGTTTCAGTCCCGCGGTTCACTGTTCAGTTCAGTAGTGGTGAGGAACCGCATTCTGATTAATTAATAAACAAGTCGCTACTTTAGTTTCTGGTACCGTTCGTCGGCTAAAACATAAACAAGCCAAGTGCCTCATAGACCAACCTGGAAATATCCATGGCACCGACACACCATTCTGCAAACCGGATCTCTTATTTGGTCCATCATGCTGCCGGTTTTGGTTATGAAGTTCTCTTTGGCATAGGTTATCTTTCCCGAACCGACCTGCATTTCAATATGAGAACCGGTCTTTAGTAATTTTCGTGGTCCTAGTGTTAGTTCTACTTCTCAGCTCTTTATACAGAGTTAGAGCCGTTGAGGATGACATCCTGAGATCCCACGCCGATTAAACAGTGATACCGCCCACAAAATCCCCGAATACAAGCTCTAGTCAAGGAAGAAGTGGATCGTCTAACTCAAAATATAACAGGGCGGTCTGAAATTCCGTGGGGTTCACCGGTCGTATTGGTCCGAAAGAAAGATGGTAAGATGCGTTTCTGTATCGATTTCAGGAAAGTGAATATTAAAGATGCCTATCCGTTACCATTTATAAATAGTATTCGTGATTGCCTTCGCCAAGGCCGCTACATTTCGAGTATCGATTTGCTGCAAGCAGATACACCTGACCAAAACGCATCAACGCTTTTACAGTCGCCTGCAGAGAACTTTTCCAATTTAAAGTCGGCACTTCTCCGAACACTTACAAAATTAGGAAAGACCGTAGCCCCACTGACCAAATTCCTTCCAAAAAAAACAAAAATGGAGTTGGAGAAAAATCAAAATCGCACGTTCTAGACTCTCAAGTTATATTTATCATTGAATGTGAGATAAGATGTGGCTAGTGTGTTAATGTTAACGTCGCGCTTTTATTAAGTAAAATAATTGACGCATTCGTTCAGGACCCGATTGTGAAGTAGAAATATTAAATTACGCGAAAGTACGACCTAAAAGGTACCAATTTAACAGTAATAATCAATTACACGAGGTGAAATTAATTGCGCGTGAAACTAATCGCTCAGCACGAAGGTATTTGATGAGTTTTCTAGAATTCTACGTCCCCATTAAAGCTGAGTGAATTCTCTTTGGAGGAGTTGAGTAGTGTGACATCGAACCACGAATCAAGTTTACAATTAAACAGAATTTATCGCATTTTCTAGTTCTCTAAATGCCTGAATCTTTTGAAAACAAGTCAGACAGTAATAAAGTAGTATTTTACAGTACAGTACCTCGACACAGCCATCTCACACTATTCTCTAAAACGTTACGTTTTCATCAAGATATAACGATGGAAAAATACTGCTGAGATGCGAACAATAAAGTTTACAGCAAGAGATAACGTCTGAGGATTCCATTCAAATGTTTCAGTGTAAAGAAGCATTCATTCATCACGCCTTTTTATGCACGTACTTTCAAAAGATGAAAAAATATCTTTTTGTCATTAATATATTATTTCGACCTTACCCGTTTACATAACAGAAGTCGATGTCAAAGTATGTATACCAATGAATAATATGGAAATTTGCAAGAATAGCAAACTTCTCAGCCCGGAGAATACATAAGTTAGTTAGGCAAAATCGTTACGAAACTCTCAATCACATTACTATGGATTTTGTTGTTCCAGGTTATCATTGTACCTACCATGGTTATCATAAAGTAAGGGATATATTTCGATTATGTATGTTTAACAAACTAAGTTAACAACCGAATGTGAAATGAAATCGATTTATTTAATAATGGGAATTCTTATGTCCACCCGTGGTTAACGTACATGTTCGATGTGCCGTCCATTTAGCTGGTACGATTACCAACCGTTTTCCAAATTGTAAGTACACAGCGTTATTTAGCATAATAATTCTATATGTTGCGATTACAGTAGATTAAAGTAGCAGGCTCGTCTGCCATTCTGGAGCCGTTTAATGACTAAATGCCTTAATAAACGTTAAAGAAATGAATGGTTTTTCTGTAAATGATAAGGCAATACGTGCAGGACATGCAACGTTTTGCAAACGTTAATTGTCAGTAGGCCCCAAAATGGCGGACGAGTCAACTGTGATATACTATGCGATCAAGAATGAGTTGCTGTCGAGTTACCTTTGGAATTTTTGTTTAATGGGAAATTGTACTTTACTTCAACTTCCAAAGGCGACTCGACAGCAACTCATTTTTGATCGCCCGTTAGTAGCTATAGTTGGGATGATTATGTCTGACAACTATATCAGTAGTTGACACAACAACTCTTTTGTTTTCCATAGATACAGTAAAATCTAATTAATTAAGGCAACTAGATTCCATTTACTTTTTGATTTAAGAAAACTAGAACTGAAAAAATCGTCCACAATTTGAAGAAAAAATACATTTACAGCTCTGCTATTGACCTGAATTTCAATAAAACGAATTGATTTAATCGATATAGCGCGATAACTACTCGCACCCTCGTAACCCTTAAAGGTTGTGAGAATTTATCAATAAATCACTTGAAAGAAAACCAAACTCCATTTTAATCCAAATCACGTTCACGTATTAAACTCCGAATTTTATTTCCTCTAAAGTCTACGTAAAATTGGTTCTCAACTTCTTACGTATTCCTTTTCATCCCTTATATAACAAAGATCGCCGATCTTTTTTATAAGGCCGAAGACTCTCCTTTGAATAATTGAATAGCACGAATTGGAGGAAAGGATGAATATCAATTATTTAAAGGAACCTATAAATTTATTTTGCGAAGTTTAATTATTCGGCCTTTGTCGTTGACTTTCAATAACGATGAGGTATTAATGAGTTGGGGATTCACAACCCGACTGAATCGTAGGTCACCCAAACAGGCCAGCGCAAAGTTTAACAGTTCCAATTAATTCCCATGTGTCTGTTGACGTGTAAATCACGATACAGCTGCTCTCAAATTGGACTACTTGGTATACAATATTGATTACTACTTAGAAAATCTAATCAGTGGGATATCTTGTCGGACAGCTAGGAAGCTTGTCAAATGGTCACTAATGAAGTTAGGGTTAGTTAACCGATTACTAATTTGATTGTCTCCTTTTTATTCAGCTGCCAACACTATGGATTATTAAATTTAATTACATACGATTTCAGAATATCATTGGAGCAAACCAAGCTACAAAATTTACAGGTTGCGCTTTTTTGTGAGCATTTGGATTGAATTATTTATATTTCAAGATAGTTTTTGTTTAATAGCTCGGAAACTATTCTAAATAATGGGTCGTATACTATTTATTCCTTAGTTTACAAGGAAAATCCTAGTTACTAACATGTCTTATGTAGCTTTTTATTCAGCCTCCGATAACAATAAAATATACAGGGTGTTGCATTTAAATACAAAAAGTTAATGACATTTCCAACTAGAAGTCTAAAAACGAATGCATTCATGTAATAATAATAATAATATTTATTTATCCCGTTTTCACTTAATACAATATTTTGTGGTTGTACTGATTGGAATAATAATAACCATCTTTTCTAGTAAATGATGGTCATTTTAAAATATCGCCGACTCATATTTTGGACAGCAACAAATTGTTTATTTATAATTAAATTTCTTGCAGCATATTTAATTTCTTTACAGGGTGTTTCATCGTGGGACGAGTTGCGTTAGGTCAAGATTGTTATATATTGCACTTTTCATTGAATGTAATCAATTAATCTATACTAGTATTTTCCCACGACATGTTCCTTTGCTTTGTTGTAATGTTAATTAACGTGCACTGTTTATCTGAACCGGGAAATAATGAATATTTATATTTAGCAAAGTGACTTGTTTCGAATTTTGATCTCGACTTGGCGTTGTGGGTAAAAGAGACAGCCCACTTGACATGGCAGAGATATATTTGTATGTACTTGTTTTTACGTGTCTTAGTGGTGGTCTCTTGGTGAGTTCTTTTTTGCCTAGCCTATTCCTATTGCTCGGTGAACTACCATTTTCAAAATTTATTTTTGCAATGTTATTTATTCTGATTTTATTTCCGTCTTTAAAGCTCGTTCTACTTGTGTACATTACTTGATCCTCACGTTTTCGAGAATTTTGGCGCGGCTTGAATGCGGTCGAGATGAGTAAAAATTAATTATGCAGAAATTTTCGATACAACGAAAGGCTGTTGTAACAGGGCGAGTCACAAATGCGATCTAGTTTTCAATTTCCTAGGAGGGAACCCTTTCAATGGAGTGCCGTACCATTTGTAACCTAAAGAAAAACACCGGTTCCAGCAATATCTGTTAATTACTTTAATTTCTTTTTGCAATGTATAGAGGGCTGGTCGGATATCTTTAAGAATTTACATCCGATTTAAAGTAATTATAATCATACCCTTAAAGGAATCGATCTGTGGAAAGAAGTGCATAGAATTGTATAGACTTTAGTCAAATATTTAGTTTAAAATTCGTATTTATTCGACTGCAGTCAAAGCAGAGGGTCATCTTTTGAGTTTCAGAATTAAAAAAGCGCTTGGCACATTAAATTACTACATGAAATTATCGATGTAACGGTTAAATTTTTGAACTAGTCCCACAAATAGAAAAATATAATTGTACATAATGAAGTACGGTTAGAGGTTTTGTTATACATGCATGTAGCGGAGAATAGTATACTTGTGAATGTAGATTGTAGTTATTGATCTCCAGTGGCGGAGACATTAGGAATTTCGTTGTTAATCATTTGTTCCCGTTTGCTACTGTTTTTACGCAAGCAACTGTTTTGCTAGGTTAGTAGGTTACTTATTATAGGATCCAGTCATCAATTTAAGGGCTGTAAGCGGCCTGCCATGTTTGTCAATGTAGGGAACGTCTATGTTGGTTTATCTGAGGAATTTTTGGAGGTCTTTAGGTCAGAGCCGGTATCTTCAAAACCGATAATAACGTTGAAAATCCTTCCTTTTGATCACCGACCGTTGTGGCACTCCCATGTTTGAGGAAATCGTTAAATCCTTAATTATTGGAAATTTGTCAGTACTCCAGTCTTCTGGGTTAATTACGAAAAGCGATAGTACTTGGTATTGCCGTGTATCATTGTGGATACGTTTATTTTGGGCAATTCTTCACCTTTAGTGTGGTTTTGTTATCGCTTAACGTTCTGAGGTAAGCGCCATTTTGTACACATTGTAGATTGGTAACGATGTTCGTTCTTTTAAGGCTGACTGGATTGGGAAAAAACCCTGTACGTGTATTGCACTGCTTATTGGTTGAAATTGTTCAACGTAGGGATATTTCCGAAAATTGTACAGGTACGGCTTGAGTCTTTGAAATTTCAAAGTGCACGGATTTTATGTAAAATTGTATGTTTTTTCAGATGCACAGATCTGGACTACAACTATGTTATGAATGTTGGTCACAAAAGAAATGCTTAAAACTTGTCACAGAAAGTAAAAAAAAATCCAAGCATGTACGAACAAGAAAGGATGGATACTGTAAATGTGTCTATTTAGCTTACCTTATCTACTGGGTGGTACTCGACTAGTAGAAATAGAACTCACCTGAAATGTAAAAAAAAACCATTAGTTATTTCCTAAAGGTAACTCTATCACAATATGCTAATCAATTCTAGTAGGTAATACCGCGTATTCAAAACGTTGCACGTAACATGTTATGAACAAGCTTTTTTGTTTAATTCCGATTTTTTTGTATTTCCGGTGGCACAGATCTATACAGATTTGATGGGTAACTCATGCTCAAAAGCGCCCTCTATTGGGCAGCAGTATAAACATTTACCTACCTTTTAAAACTGTAAAATAACGCTATTGAATTTATGCATTAGATATCGCTGCAAAAAATTTAAAGTGGTTGAGTTTCCATAATTCGAATACCTTATTATCGGTATTATTACAGTGATATGATATGATGGGAACTGGGAAGTAAGTTGAGGTACTCATTCACTTAAAATTTTTTTCAGCGACGTCTAATTTTACAGTTTTGAAAGGTACATGTTTATACTGCTGCTCAATAGAGGGCGTGTTTAAGTATACCTAAATGTACCCATGAAACGCATAAGGTTAGCAATCTGTTGTTCGTGTATATCTGTGCCAGTGGTTTGTATGCCTGAAAATACAATAAATACCTAAGACTTTCACAACAAGGAAATTTGCCTTTATTTTATTTTTGAGTGGGCGGGGTTTCAGTCAAGGCTGCTCTACCAACCCAACCCACTATACATTTACAAATCTGGGGATCAATTTCTTTCGAGCTGAAATGTCAAGGGGGGTTCACTCATTAGGTTATAAGGGAAATATGGAAAGTTTTGTAAATTTATAGTATAATGCGCTGGAAAAATATTAAATTATACATAACCACAGCTTCAGCCATTACTACCAAGCCTTATACCTAGCGCTGTTGCCGTGATCAGCGGTTGTCACCTACAATTTCGCTTGAACAATTTGTCATAGTGAGCTTCCCTTCTTATATGTATATTCGAAAATTGAATAAAGCTAGCGATAAGTTAAGGCATAACAGAAACGTGAAGGATGGCCCTAAAAACATCGCCCTATAAAACGATGATAACGTTCCTACCTTGCAATTACAACGAAATCCGGACACTCTGAAGCATAACAAACATCTATACTCTTTACTCCCTATGGAATACTCCGGCCATTGTGGAAGTAGAGTTGTCCTTTGTGGGAGAATGAAACATTATATTATATTGATTAAAATATGTGTCTTAGTCTTAAGGGTGCAGTTAATATCCGAAACGAAGTTATAAACGACAACCATCCGAGGAATTGGGATGCTTTTTAGAACTGTGTATGCTAAGAACGTTATGGGACGAAAGCTAGTTATTCAATTTTCAATTATTATTCAATTGTGTTCCATGTTTTATTGTTTACTGTCGCTACTAAAATCTCATTTGCTCTTCCGGAAGGAAACCTGACACTGTAGTCAGTAAACTACTAGAAAGATTAATTTTTATATTAAAGATTCATTACATGTTACACGTACACTCGTACAGTGTTAAAATTATGTACGGTAATTCGTGTTTGCCACATATGAATTAATATTGTATAGGTGACAGCTTGTTAATACAAAATTGGAATTTATTTTTACTTAAATTTGACATCACTATTAGGTATTTCTATAGCTATAAAAGAACGTGATCATATACAGTGTGTCCCAAATCGGGTGGGATTGCATGGGTAACTTTGTTATTATTAAAGATAGAGAATTGGTTAAATGGGCAATGTTTTGCAGTTTTGGATGCTTATTTAAAATTTCCTTATGGAAATTCAAAATGTCGCATAGGTTCGGCGTAAATTCAAAAAAACTAAAATTGGTCATTTTCTTGAATGTCTTATATCATCGAAAGTATAAGAGATATAAAAAAAAGTTTTATATAAAATTGACTGTCTTTGATACACTTAATTTAGAATTGATGTCAAAAAAAATTCAAGATGGCCACTTTTGAGGAACATTTACCAACTTCCTAAAGTTAAATGGGCGCCATATTGGATTTTTAGATTACTTGATAGATTTTTTAATTCTGTTTTCAACGAGCTATTATAACATAAGATTGAAAATAAGATACCAGTTATATTAACGGTTTTTGTACTTCAAGACAGTTTAGTTTAGGCAACGTGTTGCCATTGATGATTATTATTATTATTGTAGTGGTAAAACTACTTCCATTTTAGTTTTATTTTTTAATTAAGTACTTACTTTTATAATTTAATGTACTGTAGTACATAATTCGTGAATTGTGACCTGAGCAGCCAGTTTGTTGGTAGGTAGCATAAACTAACCCTTCCTTCGAAACATACGTTGTCGAGAAAAATCCTTTAAGGAAGTTTATTGGAGAATTTGTAAATAATGGTGAGCAGTTAAAGATCCATCGAAGATTACCGGTCCAATTACATGACTTCCCATTATGCCATAATAGTTATTTATGTATTAAGGGCATAATAGTGATGTTTATATTCTCGAGGGCGACGAGTTAAAAAGCTCGAGGGCCTATGGCCCGAGAGCTTTTTAGTCGCCCGAGAGTATAAACATCAGTTTATGCCCGTGGTACATACACAATTTTATGTTTTACAAATAGTTTTCTTCGTCAAAATTCGTTTACAAAATAATTCATTATGTTTGATCGAGTATGCGTGGTTCGAATTTGTTGATGTGATTGAAACCATCCAAACGTCAAACGTAATTTTAAATAATTCAATTCATCGTGAATGAGCAAGAAGTTCCAGAAACTATACGAAATAAGGCCAATCTTGTGATTTAGTATAAGGTATTGACAATTAATAATTGACGTTTGTAATTTTCAATGACCTGCAAATATTTGTTAGTTTTGTCATTAAGTATTAATGAGTTACTATGGTGATACTTAATGCCCTAGGGCATAAAGTGGTACTTTATGCCCGCGTATCACAGATATAAAATGTGCTATGATAGGTTAGTAAGACATAAAATACATTACCTAATTAAAAAAAATATTACTTTTCGATTTTGGTGTGAAACTACAACATGTAGGTTTTCCTGTGACGAGTAGTGTTCATAATGTCGATTTGAACACTTCGCAGTTAGAAGCATAAGATTCATCTGTCCATATACTCGGAATGGTAAAACTGTTAGTTTCGATATTCTTGCGGATAAACCACCTACAAAATGTGACCTGGCACAATGCATCAATGGTAATACATTGTGTAAAATAAAGCGAAGTGTCTTGAAATGTCTTTAACTGGATAATGGTATGACTTTTTTCGAGGGGATAGTTTGTAGTTATACTACCATTTGTAGGTATGTAAGTATGAATAATAAGTCAATAAGTGATGTTATAAAAATCAAAATTTTTCTAGGCCTACTTTTATAAAATTTTGGAGGGAGTTGTAATGCCCAAACCCCCCTCTCATGAGTGCACCCCTGATTTTTTAAACATCTGATGTAATTATTTTCATTGTTTTGATGGCTCGAATAGATTTTGTTTTGTTTTTTTTAATTCATCACAGCCTACTTAATTAAAATATAAAAATCGTTGATATAACTGGTATCTTATTTTCAATATTATGTTATGATGGCTCGTTGAAAAGAGAATTAAAAAATCTATCAAGTAATCTAAAAATCCCATATAGCGCCTATTTAAGTTTAGGAAGTTGGTAAATGTTCCTCAAAAGTAGCCCTTGAATTTTTTTTACATCAATTCTAAATTAAGCGTATCAAAGACAGTCACTTTTATATAAAACTTTTTTTTGTATCTCTTATACTTTCGATGATATAAGACATTCAAGGAAATGACCAATTTTAGTTTTTTTCAATTTACGTCGAACCTATGCGACATTTTGAATTTCCATAAGGAAATTTTAAATAAGCATCTAAAACTGCAAAACATTGCCCATTTAACCAATTCTCTATCCTTAATAATAACAAAGTTACCCATGCAATCCCACCCGATCTGGGACACACTGTATAAGATAAAATATACCATATGATGTCCACTGTACACGTATCTATCTGCTAACATATTGCTTCTTCGACCACCGTTATTAAAGAAAAAGGAGATAAACGAGGCAAGTTAAAATAATAGCGGTCGAAATATTTCATTTTTACGGTATCGTATCTCCTAAATCTTATTTCGGTTTGTAAATAATATTGAAAGCTCAATATTGCAGCAAGATTAATAATGGATCGGACCTACGTCCCACTCTGAATGATTTGTGTTTATGATCGTTTAGGGATCACTAACTTTCGCAAAACGAAAATCTTCGAACTTTTTCATTACTGAAAACTCTGGCGAAAACTAATGTTGGATTTGGAAGTGAAGCTCACGCCATGATATAATATACTAAAAGGCATTAGGCTGTATTGTTTTTCCAACTTTTCCAATACACTTTCCTTTCAATTTTAAGCTAATGGCAACAGTTTAATAAAATTTGATGTGATTCTTATGGAACGTGGCAATGTCAAAAATTTGCAGCTTAAAGCTTTACGTTCGCAACGTATCTTGGGTATTACATTTTTATGTATTACGTTATACGTACAAATCTCTTTATCTTAAAGCAAGGAGCAGACTTTTGTTTGCGCTTTGTATTTAGATAAATTTTTCTAGATTGAGGGAAGTTGTTTGCTACCTGTTACGTTATCACAAAGTTTTCCTAGATTTTGTTCATATCCTGTAATTATTTAACATAAATTCGTGTCTGCTTGTGCTGATTTAATAATTTTTGTGTCCCATAATAATAATAAGTAGCTACTATACATATCTTTTGCTATACGATTTTCCAGTTGTCTTTTTTCTGTGATACGAGAAGAAAAATCTGACATGCAAACTCTATCCAGGTCGCTCAATGGATTCGAATAAACGCACAATTCATTCATTAAGAATTACAAAATTTTTGTTCCGAACCATTGAACAAAATTCCTGAAAGAAAGAGAAGCTTGCAAAGCTTGTTTGCACAAATTACACCGCACGCAAGCGTTCGATAAAAGAAATAATAAAATCCTAAAATATTATACAGTTTGTTTTTTCTTTTAATAATCTTCCTCACGGACCTGGAAATATTGAGGGACTATGAGGGAAGATAAAATATGTACTAAGAATAATGATGAATTATAATTGTACGTACCTCACACTAATTACTTGCAAATATAAAACCCCAAAGCGTATTCAATGAAATAGCTACAGCACATCAGAAATAGAGAGAAACGTCCCAAAGATATCTGGTGATAGCCAATACCAAGAGCGAATTCAGGTAGACAGTAAGTTAAGTAAAAGGTAATGGCGTATCGAGAAAAATTTGCGCTTAAGCACTATGAAGGCAAGATATTCACTAAAGGGAAAAATACAACTGTACGCAATACCAAATTAAAGAAGTGATAGAATCAGAAATATCGCGGCCTCTCGTGGCGAAACAAAGAAGTAAGGTAATAATAAATCTACTACAGGAATACCTTACATCTTAACTAAACGGGATTAGTAAGAAAATATATGGATGGCCTAATATTTAAATGAGAGTATATTTTAGTTGGTAAGAAAAGAATGTTAACAGCTTGAGTCTTGTAGTGGGTGGTTTAATTTTCAAGTTTGAAATTTGTTTAGCATATACAGTGTGAGCAACAATGATTGAAGCGTGCGTCATCACCGCTTGTTCCTATTAATATCAAAACTACCTTCTTTGTATGGAGTTGTATACGAAAATGACGTTCTGCGCTGTCACAGTGACGTGCGTCTATTCGTATTTCGTATCTTGTATCAAATCAGCATATGCTATGAGCGGCACATTGCCAATTTAAGCTGAAGCGGCACGCTTCAATCTTTGTTGCTCACTCTGTATAAATTTACACATACAGGGTGATTCCTATAGTACCT